CGGGATGCCACCCTGCCTGGCCTCATCTCCTGGATGTAAGTCCTTCCTGGGTGGGATTATAGGACTGGAGAAAGGGCCCCTGGGAGGCCTCTGGGGATCTGTCTTTGCTGCTGCTGGTGGTGCAGGTGACTTCTTTTCCAGCTCGTGTGACGCTTCCTTCTGGCAGAAATCGATGTCAGAAAAAGCTATTATCTTGGTTTCCCCCCACCTTTAGAGATGAAACACTTCTATCCTCCTGGGATACATGACGCTAGCAGAAAAATGTCACATTTCTTTCTTAAAGTAGAAAAAAAAGTTTTATGTGTTTAATTTTTCCAAAAGTGCTTAAGTTTCTCTTTTCCTTTAGAAGAAAACTGGTTTTTCACTTGGATTATCCCAAGGGCCACATTCAGGTATATGGAAAAAAAAAAAGGAATGATGCCCATTTGCGTACAATTTGCATATATCTATGTAGAGTGGATCATTTATTCTCAGGGTGCTTGCTTGCTTTCTGATTTTTTTTTTTTTTTTTTTTTTTTTTTTAGTTTCAGAGAAATTGAGTCTTTGATTATCTGTACAACAAAAAGAACCAACAACAGTGAAAAGGCAGTAGAAACCACAGGCAACCCCCCCCCACCCCCTTCACAGAGAAGGTCCCTTCTTTGCAAGAGCCCCTGGCTTCTCCCAGTCTTTTCGGAGATTTGGGGTGGCTGTGGTTTCGCCATGATAAAAATAGCTGCCCGCTATGTGCCAGGCAAGCTGCTCTATTTACTTTTCTGTATCTCTTATTCCACTTGGCAGCCCCGAGAGGTGGGTGTTACCTCCAGTCTTCATACGGGAAACGGTCGGAGAGGGGCAGCACCATCTGCCCCAGGTACCCCCCCTAAGCAGTGGCAGAGGCGGGCTTCCCACCCAAGGCTGTCCGCCCCCCAGCGCTTTGTGTTAAACCGCCAGGCTCTGTTTTCCCTCCGTGGCATGTTGTCTGGTGTTTGGCCTTCGACACCTGCCATTACCAGCCAGGGACTTTTCCTCACACGCTCATGGTTTGCTTGTCATTTGAATGGTGGTTGCACAATATCAAGTTCACCTTATCTCCCCATTTGGTTTGTTTCCCGGTCCTCGGTGTTACAGGTGGCGCGGTGTAAATATCTTTGTGCAAATAAAGGATGGTCTGTTGGGTGTTTTAGGTATTCGACGCAAGTCCTCTAAGTAGGATTGCCAGGCCACAGGGTTTGATAGAGTTTGATGCTTCCCTGGAAGGTCTGTGCCGTTCGATCGCTCACACCGTGGTGAGTGCCTGCTGTACCAGGTGCTGCAGGTAAAGGGATTCCGAAACGGCCCCTCATTCGTAGAACTGACAGTCTGGCGTGGGGCGGATGGGGCAACCCAGAGTGGTCGTAGTAAAGCGGGGGTTGGGGCAAGGGGCAATGAGAACGTGGACCCCTGGCCATGTCTGAGTGTGCCTCTCCCCCGTCGCATGGGGGCAGAGACTGCGGGGCAGGGGAGGAGCGTGATAAGGAGAGGGGCTGCCCAGCAGTCCGGGCCTCATCCCAACTTTCCCCAGGCCTGTGGCTGAGCTACCTCAAGGCTGAGGACATTCCTGGCCGCCCCCTCCCGTCCCTTGGCTGCAGTGGCCACCTGGCCCACGGGACCCGTCACTGCTGCCCAGCTGCCACTAGGGGGAGCCAAGCAGAGGACGGCGGTGGGGGGACGGGGCGGGGGACTAGCTCCAGCCTTGAGAGGCGTGAGCAGGAGCCTGAGCACCTGCTGGTCCTCCAGGTCCCCTCTTCCCCTTAATACCCCCAGCAGCCAGGGGCACAACACGGTGCCCGATTCCCATTCATCCGGCAGACAGGAAGGTGCGCAAAGTCTTAGTGCGCAGCTCAATGGCTTTTCACAAACCAAGCGCGGTGCCAGATGCTAGGGACCCAGAAACGAATCCGACAGGGTCCCCCCCACCAGGCGCTCTGGTCTAGAGAGGTAGACAGACAAGGAAAGAGACTGTACGACTTGGTGTGGTGGTGGTCTGGACAAGTGGCAACAGGGGCAGTGAGCGGCAAGCAGCCTGGCAGCGTCTAAGAGCCCAGGGCCCTGCTCTGACTTCGGCGGTTCCACTACCCAACTCCCGGCCTTCCGTGTCTCCATCTCTAACCTGGAGGAATGAGTTTGATGCCTTCCAAGGGCCTTCTGACTCACAGGTGCTGTGAGCCCGGCTCTCGTGCCCATAGCAAGCCTGAGCGTCTCCCCCAGAAGACCCGCCTGACTTCAGTCACCCCACCTCACTCCTTCTCCCTGCCACACCCCACCCCATCAGGTCATCTCATCTACCCAACAACCTTATGAATTAGGCAGTGGCATCATTTTATAGATGAGTGAAACTGAGTGAGACATGTCCACTTGGATATTCTGCAGACGCCTCGATTTCAACACGTCTGAAATCAGCCTCATCGTCTCCCTACCTTCTGCCCCAGTCTGCCTTCTCCCCTCTTCTCCATCACAATCAGTGGCACCATCAACCCAATGAGGCCCAAGCTAGAGGCCTTTCTAGATTTGTCCGTCCTCAGCCTTCCTCCCCAGCATCTATCCCTCACATCCTGGTGAGATATTCTTCCACTTTTCTCCAGCCCTACCTCTATGCCCTTTGAGGGCCGTCCATCCCCTACTTCTTTGGGTTCTTGCAGCAGGCCTCCTATCCATCCTCCTGCCTCGACATTCTCTGCCTCCGGTCCTTCCCCCGCACGGGCCAGCACATGTCTGATCACATCACTTTCCTGCTGCTTCCTGTGGCTCCGCAGCAGAGCTCCGAGCTGGCCATCCACAGGCTGAAATCCATCCAAGAAGACGTGTTTTGTTTGGTCCGTTGAGCATTCTTAAAACATTTTGAATTATTTGCCAACATTTAAAAATCAGGAAATTCCACACGAAAGTTCGTATTTCTGGCTCCTCTTGCAAAACTGAAAAAACTGGCAACTCTGGGAACACGTCCCAGCAGGGCAGTGGTTGGATGGAGCTGAGTGGCGGTTGCCATCTTTAGAAGGGGCACGGACTTTCCACTTGGCCAGTCCCCAGCATCCTTAGCGTCTCTTAGCCTCTGGTCACTCTCCTCTCCCAGTTGCCGACCTGAGACTTGTGGCATTGGGGCTCATGGCCCTGCAGGTATGGGCTGAAGCCCAAACCAGCCCTCAACCAACATCCGAGTCTTACTCCTCTCACCACCCCACCACACCCTCCCCTGCGGCCCCAACTCTTACCCACGGTTCTCCGAATTGCCTTGTGCCCGGGAGCTCATGTCTGCATGTCTGCCTTTGTGCGAGCTGCTGGTTCTGGAACGCCTGGGCCCCTGGTTAAGTCCCATTGGTCCTTCAGGACTGCTCTGTGCCCCCTCTACCGAGAAGCAGTCCTTGTTCCTAGGTCTTCCCCCCACCCCCGCCTCCAGCTGAGTTCTGTCCTCCCATCATAACGGGGCACAGAGCACAGGCATCCCACCATCGTACTGGGTTCTCATTGTCGGTTGGCGTGTCTGCCTCCCCTGGCAGGCTGGGAGTCTGGGATTGTAGGGAGCCTGTCTTCTTCATCTTCCTATACCTCAAAGGTTAGCACGGAGCTTGGAGACATAATAGATGCCTGATAACTGGTGAATGAATGGATGAATCAGTGAAGGACCGACTTGGGAAAATACTACTCCAGGATGTAACGTTGCCACCTACTTGCTTGGGATGGAGGGTTCCAGCTTCGTTTCATTCTGGAGCACCCTCCTCTCCAAGCCCCCATTCGGAGTGACACCCCCACAGCATCCTATAAGCCGTACCCCTGCTCTGCAAGCTCTGGAATGCATCCAAGCCTCCTGGGAGGGTAGTTCCTAGTGACGCTGGAGGGGAGAGACATCATTCTTGCTGTTCCGGGGGGAGGGAATTGCGTGACGGTCGGGAAATAGCATAGCCGTTGGATACGGCACATTCTGTAATTATCCGAAGCATGATAATGATGTGCTCATGATAGCATCTCACACCCATCGAACACTCACATTGTGCCCAATCCTACACTGCGAGCACTCAGTACATTATTCCTGTCATGCCTTGCCACAATTCTAAGAAGTAGGTAGGTCTGGTTATCTTCGTTTCACGGATAGGAAAGCTGAGACTTAGGGAGTTTCCACAACTTTTCCAGGACCACGCAGCCCGGACATGGTAGAATCTAGATTCGAACCCAAATCTGTGGGCCACGGAAGTGAACCTTCCCAACCACCGCGCCACACTTCCTCAAAGACATCTCTCTTGAGAAACATGAGGGAAAGATGAAAATGAATGTGAAAGTGAAGGATGCAGATTATATATACTGTTAGACTCCAATTAGTAATTAAGAAGAAACCAACCAACCAACCAGCCAACCAACTCCTGAGGCATGGGGAAAACCAGCCAGTACGCAACACCCACAAGTTAGCAGCGTCGTGTGTGGGGAGTAGAATGCCCGGGATGGGGGCGCCTGGGTGGCTCAGGCGTTAAGCGTCTGCCTTCGGCTCAGGTCGTGATCCTGGGGTCCTGGGATCGAGCCCCGCATCGGGCTCCCTGCTCAGCGGGAAGCCTGCTTCTCCCTCCCCCACTCCCCCTGCTTGTGCTCCCTCTCTCGCTGTGTCTCTCTCTGTCAAATAAATAAATAAAATCTTTAAAAAAAAAAAAAGAAAAAAAGAATGCCCGGGATGTGTTGTTCTTCATTTTCTCCATCTCGTTTCGACTCCTATAACGTTTTCTACATTTCCTCTAATGAGCATGCATTGCTTTCATCATTAAAAAAAAAAAAAAAAAAAAATCGCCCCTCTGTAACGGCCCGGGCAGTGTGTGGCAGAACAGAGGACGGAAAGGGGGCTGGCTGGAGTCGCCGGCGCGTCTGTGGGCCCGTCGTCTGAGCAGTGAGAGGGGACGACCCACTGGCGCAGCTGCGGCCTCAGCACCCCACCACACCCTCCCCTGCAGCCTCAAGGGGCAAAGGAGAAGTGAGTCTCACCGTCTCCCCTTTTCCTCCAGGTGCTTACACCCCAGAGCCCCTCAGCAGTTTCCGGTGGGCCCTTCTCTCAACTGGCCTCATGTTCTTTTACCACTTCAGCGTCTTGCAGATCCTGGGCCTGGTAAGTTTGGTTCGGTCCCCTTCGATCCCCCTCTGCGCTGGCGTATCGTTTTGTTTTGAAAATACAAGATGCCAAAGGCCAGAATGTCAGATTGTTGTGTCTGGGTTGCTGATTTATGCTCCACGGCCTGGGCCTCTCCAAAGGGTTTTCGGAAGCCTTCAGTGTTGACCGTTTCTTTCATCCCCGGGGAGGCAAGGATGCCCTTCGCTCACGACCGCCCAGGTCGAAAACAGCGAGCTGCGGAAAGGGGTTTGCTGTGGACCCTGTGGAGGGGGAGGCAGGACCTTGACCCTGGCCTGGGCCTGGAGAGGAGGCTTCCGACCTCGGGTCCATTCTGGGCCGACTCCCAGGCCCTGAGCTGTGTGGCCAGTGGCAGTGCCGTGTCGGGGGGGCCTCCCGTGGCATTCTGGGGTGTTCAGACCCGCCCGGAGCATGGATGCTGGCTGGACTCAGTAGTTGAGTTATCCAGAGCCCAACATTGCTGAGCGCATGGGTGTCTACATCGGTGGCAAAGCAAAGGAGGAAGAACTCAGGGCTGCGGGGGGTGGGGGGCCAGGAGACCCACGGTCAAGGCCTGGCTCTGCCACCGTTCTGGCGGAGTCACCTCACCGTCGAGGGCAGAGAGCTGTCCACCCCTCTGTGACATGGAACCAAACCCCCAGCCTCCCCGAGAGGTGGTGAGGACTTGTCTCTAACGTGGACGGGCTGGAAGGGCTTTGGAAGACAGGTGCCGCGGCCGTCCTCGGGGCAGGAGCGGCATGTCTGGTTTTGTGTGCGAGCGGCAGGAATGCAGCTTCGGCCGCGTGGAGCCTCGCGGGGCCTGGCCGGACTAAGGCACGTGACTGAGGTCACCAGTGGCTCGGGAGGAGCAGTCCCTCTCTCTTCCCCACCTTGGCATACTGCTCTGCTCTGGTTTGCCTGGGGGACAGTTTGAGCTCTTTGCCAGTGGTGTGAATGCTCCCGCACGTGAGGACGACTTTCACACCTTACTCTGAGCGCTCTCCACTGGGACTGCTTGATTCCGGAGGGGTCCGTGTCCTCATGTCACCATACATACCATGCTCAGTCCCACCTGCAGGCCTGGGCCAGGCCGCGCCTCCTACAAGGAAGGCCCCACTCACTCCATTCCTTGCCATGACCTCCATCCATCCTTCATGAGTCCATTCAGGGTGCCACTTACTTCGTGAAATCTTCTGTGAGGACTCAGTGGCCATTCTGTACCCTCCTCCGATCTCATGGTGGGGGAAACCTGGTGAGTGAGCATTGTCTGGTTTGAGGTCAGATGTGGTTGCCCAACCAACTCGGTTGGTTGCCGGTTATAAGTGGAGGCAGGGACCATGTCGTTGACTATTCTGTCATCCCCTGACACCTCTCCGGGGACTAGGCACATGGTAGATGCTTAGGAATGACGGCAGGCTCTGGACCCAACTGGAAAGCAAGACTGAGCAACACCAGACAGCTTTTCCACCGGATGGCCTCCCCAGTCACTTCCCCAGGGCTCTAGCCTTGACCCACTCCCCAAAACCCTACGGCAGAGAAATCCCATCATGAACAGGTGGGGATTGGTCAATCCCTCCTTGTCTAGTCCCCCATTAGGTAGAGATGGCTGAACTGGCAGAAGCCAGAGAAAGCCTCAGGATGGTGAACGCTCACTCTACCTCCCTTGTCCCTGCAGGTCACCGAAGTGAATTTGAACAACATGCTGTGTCCGGCCATCTCAGACCCATTCTACGGCCCCTGGTATCGCATCTGGGCCTCGGGACACCAGACTCTCATGACCATGACCCACGGGAAGCTGGTCATCCTGTTCTCATACATGGCTGGGCCCTTGTGTAAATATCTGCTGGATTTGCTCCGGCTTCCAGCCAAGAAAATAGACTGAAGGTGCTTGTCTTCTTTTTTTTTTTTTTTTTTTTTTCCTCCCCGAGGAAGCAAGTCCTGACTTGACTTGGAGAACACCCAGTTCTTGACGAAATCATGGGGAGAGGGCAGTAGGATGTTTGGTGTATTTCTTTTTCCTTCTCCTCTCTGTCCCTTTCTTCCACCATGCTTCCTTCCCCAGCTCTCCCCCCCAGGATATCTCCTGGAGCCGGGGGGGGGGGGTCGTGCCAAGGGCTGGATTCTTTCTCCTCCCCTTTGGCTCTTCCTCCCTGCTCCTAGTGGCCTTACATGGGCGACAGTAGTCAGTGGTTTTCACTCTGCTTGTTGGTGCTTTAAGGACAGCTGGTTGAGAGGACGGGAAATAACAAGCGGCAGTTCTCTTGGCACTGAAGTGATGAGGTTTGGTTGGGTTTCCTTTCTCCACTGCCAGGGACCTCCAGGCTTACGCTGGGGTCCCCCCTTTGTCTCCAGCACAGCCCCCACCATAATGGGACCAAGGCCTTGTTTCTATACCAGCGGCAAGCCAAGAGCCAAGGGATTTCCCAGCTTATGGCCAAAATAGAACCTGCCAGAGTCTTCCCACTGGTGTCCCATGACTCAAAGCAAGCAGCCAACCAGCCACTCCCTCCAAAATGCTGCCTGCGGTGGGAGGTGGGGGCGCTCCTTGGCCCCAGGACTAGATTCCGGTGAGGGGGATGGAGAGCTGTTGCGATGGCAGATCCAAAGTGAACAAGTGGAAAATAGCCACCACTCTTTACTAGGCAGGACCTTGGGTAAATTCTGCCTGAGAGAACCAAGAAGTGACCCATATCCCGATCAGAAGTGAGCGTTAGAAAATCATCAACGGAAGTGGTAACTTGAGAAAACTGTGATTTGAATCATGTGCTCCATTTTAGTTGAATGTTTGATAGTAGATGCCATTTTAATCTTGAGTGCCCCTCAGTGTTTCTCTCTCTCTCTCTCTAAAAGGCAGCTTCAGGGAAGGGTGAGCTGGAGTTGGGTTTTTTGCCTTTTTTTTTTTTTCTTTTTAATTTGTTTGCTCCCTTGTTTTTGGAAGTTTGAATTCGGAGAATCCTTGCGTCAGGGGCCTGTCTCCGCAGGGGCTCCTATCCCTCCGTTCTGTGCTTTCACAGACTATGTCAGCATCCTGGGTTGGGGGAAGAAGATACAGATCCCGCTGATGTTGTCACCCTAGGGCCATGTGTCGTCACTACAGCCAGATTCCATGCTGAATTGTTTCACATGGGGGCATCACACACTCCTCCACCCTCCACCAAGCCCACCCCCAAAGCCCATGTCTGGGTTGCAAAGGACGTGCCAAGAAATCAGGTCCCCGTGGGTGCAGGTTCAAGTGCTTTAAGAGGAAGACCTTTTGTCCAAAGACTTGAGCTCAGTCACGCAGGGACTTCAAGGAGGGAACCAGTGGCGGGGCATTTGCTGACTCCTTGTGGGCTCTAACTAAGGACAAGTTTGCCTAAGAACAGGAAAGGTGATTCAGTGACTTCCTCTGATGGCCCCACCCCACCCCTACTCTAGGGGTTGCCCTGGGCTGGTCCTGTATTCTGGGCGTTACTGTATTATAATAGACCTAGATTGAGCTTCAGCGACTCAGTGGTCGGACCTACAGAAAGCAGCAGGGTGCAGGAGAGTCTCCTGGAGCAAGGTGAGGCCCGGGAAGTAGCCGCGGGAGGGACCGCCCTTCTGCAGAGGCCTGCTGGCGCAGAGACGATCGATCAGTTCCCAGGACGTGGTGGGGGAACCCGAGGGAGAACACCGAATACTCTGACTCCCCTTGAGCTCCTCCTGACGCATACTCTTCATTTTCAGCACCCCCCAACCCCCGAGGGCTTGGCCAAGTTTGTCTCAGTGCCTCTTACTGTCGGGGTGTCCTCCAGAAGGGCCCCGTGAGCAACTGGATCCACCCTGCCCGCCATAGGGATGGCCGATAAGAAAATGCCCAAGGCCTCAGTGCCCCTTGGCTCTTTACAAAAAGAGAGGTTGGAAGGAGGTCACAGGAGGAGCCCCTGGAGGCATGTCCTGTCCCCTTCCAGAACATGGAGTCTCCATAGGCAGATGGTGTGTGCCTGGGGGGGCGGGGCGGGGAGCAGCCTGGGTGGGGCAGATGCTCAGCGTCGGAACGCTGGGGTGGCGCAGTGACTCCGCAGACCCGCCCTTCCTCCCTGTCTCCGTGGCGCGGCACAGGTGGCCAGTCAGCCCGGCCTCTCCGGCAGCCGCATGCTTCTAGAAGCTCGCCTTTGCCCTGCTTATATAGCTCAGTGCCCCATTCTGGCTGATCCTCTCTGCTGCTTGGAAGGAAAGAAGAAAGGGAAAGCCACGTGCCTGGCCAGGCCAGAGGCAGCTCCACCTGTCAGGGGAAGGGGGAGGTGGAGGTGAGCCGTAGGGCCAGGGGGCGATCAGAAACATGCAGGTGGAGGGAAGAGAGAGCGAGCCCAGTCCATAGGCCGCACGGGGACCCACGGCTTGTGTTCGAGGTGTGGGGGTGCGGCAAGCACCTGACATGGTCTGCACCTCTTACCTTGGGCCCGGCCCGTGGAGACAGAACCTGAGCCCACCTAAGGCAGCCTGCCTTGGAGGGTGGCCCCCCGTGCCAGGGGCCCAGGCTTCCCAGCTCCTGCCGAGGGCTTTCCTGGCAGGACCAAGGTGGTTCCCCAGCCACCTTGGCCAACTTTCCAGATGCCATTTGGCAGCGCATGGGAGCTCACCGTGTGTGTGTCTGAGAGTGTTCAGAGAAGAGGACAGTTTCTTTTAAAACAGCCCCAGGAAGGGGAATGAGTGCTTCTCCAGCCCCTTGGGTAGCCTCTGCCAAGGATCTGGGCCAACGCGAAGGGTCCACTTTGCTGGCCAGCTTGTGGCAGCAGTTCAGAATAGCCGAGGTGATCACGCCTGCTTCCGGCCCCATCCCTCTTCCCAGTATTGGGTTCTGTACACCAAAGATGGGCCGGCCCATCTTCTTCCCGGAGGCCCAGGGACGTGTTCGTCTGTCCGCTCGGAGGGCGGTTGGGTTTAGTGGGACAGTCGGCTTATTTGCCGTCTGCTACCTCCAGCCTAGCCTCTGTCAGGGTTCTGCTCTCCGTGCTCCTTGCTAATTCAGCGTTTTGTGGAGTGGGCACAGCTCCCCACCCACAGCAAGTTGTCCATCTGTCTCCGCGCACTGGTGTTGGGGCCTGGTGGGGCCCCCCCAGGCTGAGTTGGGCAGCTCCGGGGGGGGGTACCAGAAAGCCCTTCCTCCCCCTCCCTGGATTTGTAGCCGTTGATCCAGAGTCCTCTGTCCTCTTTGGGAGACTGAAGGGGAGGTGGGGGGAGGAGACAAGAGGTTCAGGATGCGGGTGCTGGTTTTGGTAGCTCGAGAGCAGACAGAGGGTGTCCTTCGGGCCCTGGCGTGCTCCTCAGCAGGCCCCCGCCCGGGGAGGGGTCCCCCACCGCACCACTGCCCTGCCCTGCCCTTTCGGAGCGGGTAGAGTCTGTGAGATGGAGTGAACCTTCTTCTGTATATAGAGTGAGCCAGTCTGTGCTCAGGAAAACCTAATCGCTTGTTGTTGCTCCTGTTACTTTTTTTTTTTTTTTTTTTTTTTTGTACACTGGTTTTCTCCTCGTGGCACGGAACAAAACAAAGCAAAAGTCGTCTCAAGCAAAGCTGTTGTTTTTGGAAACTTTCTTTCGCTGTGAGTTTTGTACTATAAAGAATTCTTCATTTATATCGGTGTTACTGTGGTAGAGAGAATAAGATAGTCTTATTTTTGCCAGGAAATTGGCAAACGCCTCTGGGCCCCCCCCCCCCAATCCTTCCCCATCCCCGGGTGGATTTGCCGTGTACTAAGCAGACCCCTCCCTGGCACTCCACACCCAAGGGCCCCCTTTAGAACCCGTCTTCATAAGCCCCCTATATTTTTGCCAAGCTGGTGTGCTCGCTGCCCCCCCCCCCCCCCGCCCCCGCAAACTAGTTTGCTCACCTCCCGGGGCATTTTGTAATGCGTTTTCTCTGTTTTGTAAAAAACCTTTTGATTGTACCAAAATGGTTTCTGCAGTCACCTTTGGAAATAAATGGTCATTAATTTGTGTACCTAGCATTCTAGAATTTTAGTCTTAGGTGTTTCTGTGGTTGAAGATCCCCGAATGATAAAGGACCCCTCACCACGGGACTTAACTGTTACAATGTTTTCTTCATTTACTCTTATTAAAAGATTTATGAGAACCTAGGCGTCTTGGCCTTCCTTCCCCGAATCCTCTTGGAAGTCCCTCTGCTTTGAAAAGTAGCCAAAAGGACCATTCGCTCCCCCCACCCCGTGGCGGACCACCAAAGGGCAGCTCTGGCCTGGGAGCCCCGTGGCCGGAAATTCCCGTGCACGCTGCCTGCTTCCACTGGGGACATAGGAGGCCTTTTGCTCTTGGCGGGGACTGTCTTCTGGGGACATCCGCTGGCTTCACTGAGCACCCCCTCCAGGTGCGCTGGGCCAGGCTATAAATGAGCCAGGGCCTGCAATCTCGGGGCCACAGAACCACTAGCTGGGGCCAAGCCATGTCCCCCGGTTCTCCACCTGTAGAACGATAGCGACATCCGTGTGCCCCGCATGGCGCAACATCCCTCCACACACATGCCCTCCTGTGATCCCCACAGCCGCACGCCAACTGGCTGGTAACGCTGTCCCCGGTGGACGTGGGAGGGCAGACACCGAGAGAGCAGGCTCTGAGCTAAAAGAGATGCTGGGACGCCAGGCCAGTTGTGTTAGACTCCAAAGCCCATGCACTTGGCGCTCTCCTGGGACTCCGCTGCCCGTCGGGAGGGCCGCGATTATCGGGCGGACCGCTGCCTGGGGGCCCCCAGCCCCGAGAGGAGTGGGAGCAGAGCCAGGCGGGGGTGTGGAAGGCAAGCAAGAGGAAGGGGAACCCCTTGAATGTGCGAAGCAGAGGAGCCAAACCCAGCTTGTGACCCCGGGGAGCCCCAGAGTAGAGCTGAAAGGCACGGGAGTAAAGGAGGGCAGGGACGCAATGCCAGGCAAGAGCTGGGCCCGGGGGCAGGACAGAAAGATGGGTCCCGTGGCCTTTCTACGCATCTCCCTCTTCAGAAAGGGCTGAACGGCCGTGACCGAGGCCATGGCCTTCTCTGCCCTGGGCTGTACATCTGCCCCCTGCCCGCCGTCTCGGCTCCAGTCCTGGCCCCCTACTGCCGGCAATAAATGCAGATCTGAGAGCAGCCTTCCCTGGGCCCCCCGGAAACATCCGCTGCTCCATCTCCTCACCCCCACGGTCCCCCGCATCCCAGGACCACACACAGGGAGAGACCCTTTGCCCCCAACGTCTCGTGGTCCACTTTTCCCCGCTGGGCCGTCTTCCCCTTCTTTGCCTTTTTTCTTTGCGTGGCTCTCTCAGCTCCCCGGTCTCCCTTCTTGTCCAAAGGCCTGAGCTCAAGTGTCAGCTCCTGGGCCAGGCTTCCCTGAGCCCCAGTCCGAGTTAGGTAACTCTCGGCTTGGCTCCTGCCAACCCCCACCCCTCCTGGTGCTCACTGCAGGGCGCCATTTGCCCCCCTTACTAAGCAACGCATTCTGGCTGGTTGGCCGTCTGTGGACTGAGCTCCTGGAGGGCACGGTGGGGTCCCATTCATTCTCCTGTCCCTGGCACAGGACCTGTTCCATAGAAGGTGCTCAGTGAACACCCAGCTCATCCCGGAGCGCTGCAACATGGTGGGAGGCACCACCACCCGAGGGAGAAACCCTGCCACATCAGCTGTCCCCCATCCCATGGGCTCTCCCGTGTGGAGCTGTGTGCCTTTGTCTGCCCAGGAGCCTCCCGCCCCAGCCTGGGGGCCTCCGTGCCCAGCCTTCCCCAGACCTCTGGGTGGAGGGTGGCCAACGCATCCAACTTCTTTTCTGTATCCTTGGTAGCTGTTCGGTCCCCACCAGGGTCACCCCTCCGTTCCCTGGGGCACACGGAGTTGGCGTTGGCACGGCCAGAGCCCCGCCAGCCCACGGGACATGCCACCTACCCCTCTGAGGGAGAGGGAGCGGCTTGGGGTGGTTACACCATTATTCCCCCCCTCCCCCCAGTGAGTTTTCCCCTTGTCCTGCTTTGCCAAGGCCAGTGGAGGGGCAGAGATACACCCGTCAGTCTGACAAACGCCATGGCTTATTCAAAGGATATGTGGTTTGCTAACCTTGGCAATGGGCAAGGCCGGCCTCGTCCAAAGTCAAAGACTCTCTGTTACCGCCCGTCCCCACCCCTCTCCCAGTCAGCGTTTGCCCAGCATCTAGATTGCACATCTGGCCCTCTGCAGCCGATTGTCCTGACTTCAGGGCGGCTCCTCCATCTCGGCCAGCCGGTAGCCCCGGAGTCTCGCGACGGGGCAGGTCTTGGCAAGGAGGTCTGACGCTTCCTTGACCAAGCTCTGACAGGTGATAATGGGGCCAGTGGCCTGAGCTGCATGGGTGTTCTTTCCAGCGATGCCTCCCCAGCTGCCCCTCCACTCCCTGGTCTCTCCTGCCTCTCCCCACCCACCTCGCTCTGGCTGTCCCTTCGGCTGTCCCTTCCCTACTTTCCAGAAGTCCCTAAAAGTAAATTTTTAGAAGGAGGCCCTGGGCTCTTGGGTCTCCTGCCCGCCCTGGGAATGGAGGGGCCTTCCTGCGCACTCCAGAACACACCCTCAGATTTTGAGAACATCAGAGCGGACGAGATAGAGACCACGAAGACAGGAGCTTGTAGATTTTCCTGCGTATTAGAATCACCTGCGAAGCTTTAACCAAAATCTCAATGCCCAGGCCTGATTCAGAGCAAGCTTTTGTTTTGTTTTCACTTGAAGCTTCCAGGTTGTGAGTCATCTCTTTGCCCTGACCCTCTATACCGGGGCCTTTTTCAAATGAGATTTTTAAGACCTACCAAAAAGTCTGAAGAATAATACCCAAATCCAGCTTAACAAAAAGAACCTTACCAAGACAGTGGGAGCCCCGTCACTCCACAAATTTGGAGAGTGTTCCTCAGAGCCTCCGGG